CTCTCTTGTTATTAGATCTGTTATTAGATCTGGTTTTGAAGTTACCACCTAGAAACTGCCTCAGCTCTCGAGGACAGCAGGCAGCAGAGGAGGAGCTCCCTGCTTTGGCAATGGCCAGCCCATAGGCTTTGAGACAACCTTAGAGTTGCTGCCACATTAAATGTGTGGACCTTTAGGGTTCTTCTTCACTTTACTATTAAGGTCCAATCTCAAAATTGTAATAGGTCAAAGCAGTATAGAAAATGCTCCAAGTAATGTTTTTGTGCAGTAAAATCCACATGCTGGCACCTCAAGCCCCTTCCCCTCTCCTGAAGCTGACCAGCCTCCCCTGAATGTAGCTGCTGCCCCTTGTGAAGGAGAAATCTGCCCAGAGCCCACAGTGCTCCCAGCCAGCCTTGCAGAAGTGGGCTCTGTGGTAAGGGAAGGCAGCAGAGTGCTGAATTCATGCTGTGCCCTGTGCTGAGGCATAAATATGTCTGGTGTCCACATTCCAAAACACCCCCACAGCCCCACCACAGCACTGCAGTCTGGTCCTGAAACTGTGTGAAGTTACCCATGCGCTGACAAACAACTGAGGCTTTGCAGGGCCACAGGAAAGTGCCATTGCCTCTGTTTCTTCCTGTCACTGTGGTAATGTGTGTGCATCCTCCCACTTCAGCTCCATGACTGCTCACCAACCACTTGAGGATTGGGTATAGTTTGGTCTTGGCCAGTGATGGCGAATCTATGGTGTGTGTACTACATCAGGCATGTAGAGCCCTCTTTGTTGACACATGAGCCAAGTTGCCCCCAGAGCCAAGCATCACATTAGCAGTTGTTTTTTCTAGGCTAAAACCTCAGTATTCAGGTTTAATTGCAATGTAGGCACTTTGTGATAAATAAGTGGGTATTTGGTTGCCCTTTGGTCACTCCATATCTAAAAGATTTGCCATCACTGGTCTGGGTTTTTAAGAAAGCATTTGGATGTGTCCATTAAGATAAAAATATTAGGAGCTAGGTGTGGTGGCACAGGCCTGAACTCCCAGCTCCTTGAGGGCTGAGGCAGGAGGATTGAAAGTTTGAGGTCAGCTCGGTCAACTTAGTGAAACCTCATCTCAGAATAAAATATGAAATGAGCTGGAGATATATCAGTGGTACAATACCCATTGGTTTAATTGGTTTAATACCTAGTACTGTCCCACCCCAGTATCTTTTGATCTGCTAATTCTACCTATAAATATTTATCTCATATGTACAGGATATAGAGTCTAATATTGTAATGGTCAAAGCGGGGGAAGCCACCTCAGTGACAGTTGGGAATAATTAAATAATAGGGTACTATAGAATTCTGTACAAATAGTGACACCAGTGATGGAAGAGTATAAGTACTAGAGTATAACCACCAAGTCAGAAATGGAACTGTAGCAGATGGTTACTGGTATTACACAATGGCACATGGTAAAATATTTCTAGACTGCACAACCCCATTGTGTGTAGTGTCCAGGGAAGACCTAAGAAACATAGTAAGAAAACAGCAAGCTTGGGAACCATGTGGTTGATACCATATGTATTTTTTTTAAAGTGGTTTATATTTATATGCCTGTGTATTTGCGTAAAAGTGTGCGTTGAACATAGTGAGTGAACACTGAATTTGTGACAAGGATTTGTGATGAAGTAGTCTAAGCAGGCCCTTAGCTATGTTTTACAGTGAGAATGCATGAAATCTGCACAAATAGAAATGAACAAAAGGAAACTTCTAGAACAGTGGCAAAAAAATGATGAACCAGCTACTAAGGAGGTGTTGGCTTCTCTGGATCAGCAAGTGTCAGTTGGTCACAGCCATGTTGTGTGGGGATCAGCACTGGGCCTGGGGGTGAGTGTACCTCAGCTTCGTGCTGGCGCTACCCCTGTGCCAGGCCGCTCTGTGCTTCAGGTGTAAAGTGGAGGTGAGTGCCTACCTCCTGGGTTATTTTGAGGACAAAGTGAGTCTTTCCACATCAAGTACTTGGCAGACAGGAAGTGCTAATGGGTTTGCTGATGTCATCCCCCCTCAGGTTTAGTGTGGAGAGCACCCTTTTAAACGCTGGATGCTAGATGACCTGTGGCGGGTGTGGTATTGACCATGTGTCTCTGGCAGAGACTGCAACCTGGGCTTACCTAAGGAGTTCTCCAGGGAGCCATACTGGGGTCACACTAGATGGATGTCAAGAACCAAACTGAGGAACCCTGAGAATTCCTGTGTCTCTCTCCTCGCCTTGTCCTTTCCTTTCCCTTTTCCCTTTTCCATACTGGAGATTGAATTCAGGACCTTTGCACTCTGCTGTATTACCAGCACATACATACCCCTTTTCTTTCCATTTTTGAGACAGGATCTCACTGTTTACCTAGGCTAGGCTTGAATTTGCTTCAGCTTCCCATAGTGCTAGAATTACAGGCACACACCACTATATTCAGGTCCTGATCACAATTACAAAAAGAAAGGATGAATTCTCTGTCAAGTGTGTGGGAATTGGCCATGTTCATGAAGTTCTGCCTCATTGCAGAACTGGGCAGTTGAGTCACCATTCCAATGTAATGGTTAAGCATCCTGTTTCTGTTACACCTTCCACAACATAGTAGCATAGCACCTTCTCTCCCACAGAAATGGGCCAGTAAGGCTTGCAGGCAGTGGATGGATCTTAGGAGAACTCTCTCGGCAGCAGCACGTGTCCAGCTGATGGGCAGGGCTATCTGACTGCCACCTGGCAGGGACAACTTAGAGCCCATGGAAGTGATGCCTGGCAGTCACAATTGAAAGATCCTTTCACTCATCTGGTACATGCTACTCTGCTACATGATCAGCAACATGGCAAATGCTGGGTGCTCAGGATGGATTGCTCAGACCCCTGTCTCAGACCACAGAATGGTGCATGAATGGGGTCATGCCCAGAGCTAAACCAGCATGGAGAGATGCCATGTTCCACATGGCATATAGTCATGTGCTTTCTTTGAACACTGGATACCCAAATACCCTACCAGGTCATTGCAAAGTGTGCCCTGCTTTCCATTCTGCTGGATAAATGAGCTGTCCCTCTGCATGGGCATCTGTCTGGTGCTCTTGTTCTGTTTTGAGCCTTTTCCTGTCTGCTCCACACCTCCTGCCTCCATCACCACAGCTTTTGCATGTCTTGTGTCTTAGATACTTTTCTTATTACTGAGACAAAATACCTGACTTCCAAAGTTAAGGGAGGAAAGGTTTATTTTGGCTTACAGTTGCAGAGGTTTCAGTCCACATTTTCCTCACTCTAAGGCAGAGTGGCATAGCAGAGGTGCATTGCAGAGGAGAAACAGTTCAAGCAAAGCAGAGCGGGCACACCACAGCCAGCAGCAAGTGACAAAAACTGTACCAGCTTGCCTCCCCCTTTTATCTCTTCCAAGATGCCAGTCTCCTGGGTGGTGCTACCCTCAACCCAGGGTGGGCCTTTCCATTATCCACACCCAGAACTATGCTAAACCAGTGGATTGATTTGGTAAAAACACACACACACCCGTAATCCCAGCCTCACACATCCTATATTCAGCCACCTCTGAGAAGCCCTACCTGTGACCCTATGAGGCTTTGTGGGGGACATCTAGATATAAGCCATAACATCTTGGCATCTGCTAGGCCCATCCCCTGGCTTGCTTCTCTCAGAGCTCATTAGCTGGCCTCTGTCCTTGAAGTTCCATTGAATACATGGGCCCCAAGGCAGAGTGTGCTCACAGTATCAGGAGTGTGTAGCCCATGTGCCGTGTCTGGCCGAGTCCTCAAAGATGGTCTCCAGGAGACTCTGTCTGCTACAGGTGTTCCCTAGATCACTGGTGCTGGGGGAAACAGTAGCTGGACCTCTAGACACTCACCTATGGCTAGTTGAAGGCCAGTTGGGTTAGGCCAGTTTGAATAAGGATAATCTTCCCAGCCAGCTTGTCTCCTGCTCTGAGACGAAAAACATTGTGAGATTCTTGTATCCCGAGAGATATCTGAGGTTCTGTTCCCCAGAAGCACTGTACTAGCAAAGCTGAGCACAGACCACCTCTCCACAAAAGTCTTCTAGATGTCCTCTGCCCTGGCCAAATCTGTCTCCTCTTCACTACTTCCCCAGAGTGCCAGTTCCCTAGGAAAGATGGGGCTCTGAGGATCTTACTGTCATTTGCCTCATTCTCTTATTGCGGGGAAGAGGCAGTCAGGGGTCCAGGCCCTTATATCTACTTCAGCACACATTGTGTATGAGAATAGGAGAGTAGAACTGAAATAACTGCAGACCATCTCAAGGGGTGGGGCAGGTGTGTCAAGCAAAGGCCTGGAGATACAGAGGTGTAGAAGGAGCCACGAGATGGTTCTTCACATTCGGGTAGAGATGGAGAAGGAGAGGCCTCAGTTTCACTACAAGTGAGCATTCATCAGGATTCCCTTTTGGTAGTGCTGAGGGGCCTATGGTGCCCAAAACTCGGTTACTTACAGCATCAGAGCCTGTGTTTCCACAGGTCAGCTTGGTTTGACTGGCCAGTTGGGCAGACTGGATTGGAGTAGGAGTCAAGTCCAAGGCCTTCATTCTGGAGCTACAGCAGAAGGGGTAGTGACACTTAGGGCATGTTGTAGTGATCTTAGGTACACCAGAGGCCAAACTAGTCACAGGAGGTCCCAGCTGAGCTTAACCCCTGTGTCACTAGGGCAAGGAACATAAGGGGGGGGGGTCCCCTGCAAAATCCTGGCAGAAAAGCATGGGTGTCTGATTTGACCTTTGGAATTAGCCTTTCAGAGCCCTGGAAGTTCTGAAAGTACCTGTTGTTTGCTGTGTGTAGCATATTAGGAGGTTTTCCAGTGTGAAAAGCTATAAACACACTATGGTTCTAGGCCAATTTGTTACAGAAGAGTCAAAAGTTGTCTTGCTAAAAGGAAAATCAAGGCTTAAGTTGCTTAAAACTAGTGTCAGAAAAATACCATCCTAGTCTTCTGTGTTCCTGGTTTTATTGACATTTTGCCTGAATTCTCTTTCTTTCAGGGAAATAGTGGAACATATGGTACAGCACTTTAAAACACAGATCTTCGGGGATCGGAAACCAGTGTTTGATGGAAGAAAAAATCTTTACACAGCTATGCCCCTTCCAATCGGGAGGGATAAGGTAAGGCCACAGGTCAGGTCACACTGAGTAGATTAACATGAAACTTGGGTTATAAAGTTAATTATTACTCTTATCACATACTAAGTCATTTCACCTAGGAGAAAGGGGCAGCTGATTGGTTATGTGCTTCATCTTGAGATCAACAAAAACTGCCTTAATGTGGGGATTTCATTGATAGCCGGCTCAGAACACTGTACACACACACATGTCATATGTGCACACACCTCTTGAGTACCTGCCACAGACCCCACCTCGTGAGGCCTGTAGGAAAATGTGTTTGTGTGTGTGTCTTGCTGGCACTAAAACATAGTGAATACTCTGCTCCAACCAGTGATTCATCTGAAATAAAATGAGGAGAATTAGTGAACCCAGAGTAGTACTTATATTAAAATGTCACTTTTTCTTATTGTCTTTATCTTGGCTTTATTTCACAAGTAATAAAATTTCTACTTAGAAGTTATCACTCTTTGGCACCATGTTTCAACAAATGTGCTTCTTTAGGGTGATGGTGTGTTTCTGTAAGTAGACCAGTTCAGAAATAATCCTACATATACAGTATGATCAAAAATTATGGTGAATGAAGATGATGATTAAGATGCTAATAAAAAAAAAATGGTGTCAGGTACCACAACAGCAACAGAACTTTGCTGTTTTCTGGGTATTATTCTTTTCTTTGTTTTTTTGTTTGTTTTGTTTTTTGTAATGGAGTGTACTGAATATCTATAATTTTGTTCAGATGACTGCAGAACCTGGAAAAGCTGCTGCTGCTACTGATGCATAACATACTGTTATTATTAGTCTTTTTACATA